CGGATTTCTCAAAAAGAGATCATGTGTGACCTGTCACATAGACTTTTTCAACGAAGTTGCACGAAGTAGGGACAACAGAGAACTAGTAATTGTACTATATTTCGATATAACAAAAGCCTTCGACAGAGTTCCCCATAATCTGCTAGTCAGCAGGTTATGCTCACTAGGGATATGTGACCCTCTCCTGAGCTGGATAAAATCATTTCTCTGTGGCCGAAGTCAGACAACGAAAGTTGGCTCGATAATCTCAAGGCCTAAACCAGTAAGCAGTGGTGTGATCCACGTAAGTGTATTAGACCCACTCTTATTCATAATATATATAAACAGTGTCTGTGAATGCTTTAGTGTAGGTAAACCAATACTATATGCAGATGACTTAAAAGTGACCTATAAATGCAAGAACACAGATCTTGGAATAACAGTAATCGCCATACAGCAAGAATTAGAAAAAATGGATAGATGGTGTGACACCTGGCAACTCCAATTTAATGTCGAAAAATGTGGCTGGCTCTGCATAGGTTGCAACAATTTAGAACTTGACCTGACAATTCAAGGCCATGCACTTCAACGACTGGAATCTGTACTGGACCTAGGACTGAAATATTCACATTCACATCATTTTCTGAACATATCTCCAAACAAGTGTCAAAGTCACGCAGACTTATCGGCATTCTACTCAGGAACTTCTACAGAAATGAGTCTAGAATTCTGTTGTACAAGGTTTGTGTGCGTCCTCTATTTGATTACTGTTCATTCATGTATAGTAGTATACACATAGAGGACAAATTGAAAGTCGAGGGAGTGCAGAGGTACTTCACGTTAGAATTACTCGGAACCGAAAATGGTGCGAACTACTCCACTAGATGTGATGCCCTAGGACTAGAAACACTATGGCTAAGACGCCTGAGACTAAACTTAACACTTTACTATAAGCTTCTAAACCACTTCGTTTTTACCTCTACTAATGGCACTCGACTTTCAGATGACAATGGCTACAAACTAAGACACACTAAGGGTACAGTAGCTATCGAACAATGTAAAACAACCACCAGGCAAAAGTTTTACTTGATTAGGTATGCACAGATATGGAATAAACTACCAATGGAAATGCGTCAAGCAAGTACATTGGCCTCCTTCGAAAAGGTGCTTAATGACAAACTACAGGAGTTTGCAAACGATAGTAGTTCTAGTTCCTATCTGAGAGCCTCAGAAATTATAGGTCCATTTAATGTATAAGCTTAAATACTACACCTGTTGTTTTTTGCCTATATTTATAATTTTAGATAAAACATTAACGGTTAAGATATGTACCCTCAAACAGACAAGAAATTTCGTTAGTAAACTTCTACCCAACACAATAAGTTGAATAAAATGGACATAAACCGACAACATGAAAAAGGTATAACTCACCACAACATCACATGGATAGATGTACGCTCGTTGGGCACCATATATCCCTCACCAACTGCAACCCACCTTTCCTTAGATAATGTGATGAACTTGTATCCATAATGTTGCTGAGCAGTTAATATTCTCAACTCCTGTCGGAACAGCTGAAACTCATAAACCTTCTTCACGCTAGGAAAATACCCACAAGCAGTAGAAATCCATTAATTAATGCGTCTGAAGCTTATGTATTTACTCCCAACAATGACATTGCAGATCAAATGAGATAAACACATCACTGATTTCAAAATAACACATCAATGAACTATAATTCAAGGATTCTGCACACAATAAAAGTATGTATGAAAATTGACTTCAAGCTTTCTTTTTTCCCAGGCACTTATAATCCATCCACCAAAGACCTGGTTTTTTTGTTAATGCGAAGACAATACTTCTGTATTTCCTGATGTGTTGCACTCACTGACAATCTAGCAGATTTTTCCAACTGTGCACAGAAATGATTGTATATAAGTGAAAAGGCTGTTTTATACTACTTGGATTAACATGTAAGACGTACCTTGCTACTGCCTGTAAATTGTGATTGAATTATATGGTTCTATTTCTGTAACAATTTGATGATGCCTGTAAACTGGCGTCCCTCATGTACTGTACTATGAGAATAAATTTATTTATTTATTATATGGTTTGTTTCGGAGACCAACCACTCCTTTTGTTGCCGGTCGTTGGATTCTTTCCAAGAGGTTGGCGTCTCTTCTAAGCAGTGGGGGTGCAATAATATTATGCACTTCAAGGTGCAGTCTGACGTATGTATTTTACAACCTTAGAAAGAGCTCAGGAGTGAGTGCACCTAACTGTCTATGTGTAAAGTGTATGACCGCATATGCCCTCGCTACATCCCCCGTGTAATTTACGCTTGTTTCCATTTTTTCTGTTAGAACTAGACCTAAGTCGCGTTCCAACGTTGTGCAGGACAAGCTTTCATTGCACAGGGTGTAACTTGCATTCTGAAGTCTACAGGTGCATAATTTCACTACTTTGCACTTTTTCAGGTTGAAAGTCATGCCACTGGCCACCGCCCAGTCTTCCAGAAGCCTTAGATCTTCCTGTAGGTTATCTGAGTCCTCCGGACACTTTATCACCCTCCATATCTTCACGTCGTCAGCGTATAGAAGAGTCGGGCAGCTTAGACGGTATGGTAGATCATTGATAAAAATCAAAAACATCAGTGGTCCTAGGATAGAACCCTGCGATACTCCTGATGACGAGCTGTGCCAAGATGATCGGACTCGATTAACCTTAGTGCAAAATTGCCTTTCAGCTAGGTAGTCCTTTAACCATGACAGAAGTGGCTTACCTATACCTACCTGGCTTATTTTGCGTAGGAGAAGGTCATGGTGAACGCTGTCGAATGCCTTCTCAAAGTCTAGGAAGATCACATGGACTGGAACATTCATATCCCAGCATGATGTTCAATCGTCCCAAGCTAATAATAAGTTAGTAACGCGGGATCTCCCTTTCCTGAAACCGTGTTGGGCTTCATGTAGCATATTAGACCTATCGAGATATTCCCTGATGTGACTGTTGTTGCTTTATATTTCTAAATCCTTATAAAATTTATGAGGTAATTAGATGCAATATTGTAATGAACGCTGAAAATTCCATACCTGTACCACAAATACTGTTTGCAATAAAGCCATTATTATTATTATTAAATACTCTCCAGTACTCTTGATACCACTGGGATTAGAGCTACTGGTCTATAACTAGTGGGATTTTGCCTGTCCCCACCCTTGAAGATCGGAGAAAGGATGCTTCTTTTCCATTCCTTTGGCAGTTTCCCCGATTCCATTGAGTGTTGGAACAAGTCGCATACGGGCCTACAGAGAGCTCCGGCGCACTGTTTCAGAACAGATGGCCTGATGTCGTCACAACCTGGGGACTTCCCAGGTGTGAATCGCTGTAGCTTTCTTAGTACTATTGCAGGGTTTTATTTGGGGAGTGGCCATTTGGTCTTCCTCCTGTGGAATAGTGGTGCCACCATTTCGGTCCGTAACGGTAATGCCCACATTGCTGTTTACCTGTTTGGCGAAGGCTAAACTGAATGTTTCAGCCATCTCCAGACTAATGAGATATTGACCGTTTTAGCCTACTAAGGCGCATGCCCCCTGGTTGGTTGGTTTCCTTTCCGACATGAATCAGTACAAGTTCTTGGGGTTTGCTAGGAGATTTTTAGCGAGGTTAGTCTGGAATGACCTCCTGTCCCTCCTGACTCTTGCATTGCACCGGTTCCTGAGTTCCAGGTATGCATCATGGTCGATCTGACTCTTAGATACGCGCCACGTAAGCCAAGCCTTCCACTTTGCTTGCAGAATCCGTTGCGTGCCTCTCTTTAACCATGATGACTTTCTTTTGGGCTGTGTTGTGACTAAAGGGGCGGTATCCGAGATTACTGTGTGAATTATCTTTTTTTACCACCTCCCAGTGTTTATCCACAAATAGCTCATCCCATTCTAAGGGCCAGTCTGAGTCGGACGAGAGTCTCCGCATTTCAGCATAGTCAGCCTTGCTGTAACACAGACATGGTTGCGTAACGTCCCACTGCAAATGCTCACGGAGAACGAGATCGAAACCTATAACTGCTTGGTCACTACTTCCTAAGAGTCATGATCTGAACCTTTTCGACGAGTAGTTGGTCACTACTTAGAATGTAGTCTGGTTCTGATGACTTTCCACATTTACGATATAAATTCAATAATTTTCGAAGCACGAATTGAGATTATGCTGGATTCAATTCCGTAGAAGTTCTTGAGTAGGAAACCAATAAGCCTGCGTTATCTCCATACTTGATTGGATATATGTTCTGAAAATGATAGATCTTGAAATCGCCACAAACCGGTTTGTAGTTGAATTCCAGCGTAGGTACATGCTCTAGTATTTCTCCGATAAACGTATCAGTCCATTTAGGGCTGTTAGGGGCTCTATATATCCATCCCACTACAATTTTATTTTCATTCGTGTAGACGCATATCCACCTACATTCTGAGAGTCTGTGAATAGTTCGGTTAGTGAAAGTATTGGACTCAGCGGATTTAAAAGCATATATTTGGATCCCGCATGAATGCAACGTATGAAACAATTACAAGGAAATGAATGAACTGACCTGTTGATATAAAATTTCGAAACCTACGAAATAACTCATTTTAACTGCAACAGAAACCAAAATTAGGTGAAACGCGACATTCGCGAACAATGTGCATCAAGATAAGTTGTGAATAACTGCAGGATAAACGTGAAAGCCAATGTGTAAACGAACGATTAAGGAACGTCAATCCAACATAGCCGACTGAAATGGAAGAAAGTGACCTTCAGGTGCCTAACTCTTCCAATGACGTTGAGAATGTGGGATAATTTCAGTCGAATATTTGCGATACAGTCATGAGAATAAGTTTTCGTACCTCTCAAAAGTTAATTTGCGGTAATCATAATGCATTCTTCTGGAATAGAATTAGGCAGCTTATAGATATGGGTTCCCACACTTGTTGCACTTTTGCATCATCGTTGTTTAGCTAAGTCATATATCACATTAAATATCTTCGGGCGGGTTGTTGGCTTTGGTTTGACGTTTCTTTTCGATGGATTCTCCAGTCGATTCGAGTACGCCAAAAAGCTCTACCAAACGGGCCATCAATGACCTCCAGCTCCCACTAGCTGGAGGTAGTAACTGTATCAAGAAAAAGAAGACAGCGACGGTGCCAGAACAGTTGAAGTAAGTACTCACAGATATTTTCCTGTTTCGTATCACTGATGGTAGCATTTGACACTTATTTTCGTACATATCGTTTTGTTTAGTGTTAGAAATGATGTGGTCAGTCAGTGATGTATATGTATGTCAGTATTTGAACATGTGGCAGACTTCAGAGGACAATCGTTTGAACTTCTCTGTACACAGTGTTTTGATATGATGGAAGTTGTGCTTTCCCATCCTTGGAGAGAACTTCACTTGAGGAGTTTTTGATGACGCGATATATATATATGACTGACGTTTCCAACCTGTGTATCTCCGGAGAAGGGTGGTAGTGTGACTGACTAGTTGTTTGAGGGAAACCCTTTACTGCTGCTACATTTCTATGCGCTAGCAACACGACCCTACCGTCAGATTCCCAGTCAGTGGTAGTTCGTTCTGACCATATTGATGACTGTGGAGCGAACTTTGTTAGGTGTTGTAGGACTGGATTGGAAAGGAGTTGGGCGTTGTAAGTCGTGTCTTTTAGACCGTGTGGCACGGCATCATCTGCAGAAACATTCCGTCAAGCCAGTGTAACCCGTTGAGTGGATGCAATATTCAAACCCAACCCGCACTTCAAGTTAGCAGGCATCCAGTGGGATGTTAGACACAACCGACCACTGAAAGAAGTAAAAGTACTTGGTACAAAATAACTGAGTCACGCAGACACTCATTTTCCTCATTGATTTACCGAGAGTGAGGAAGGATTAAATTCCCCTGAAGAATGAAAGTTTTGATTGTTGATAGTCTGTGGTAATTGAAAGAAAGGATGGATATGTGAAAATGACGACTGATTGAAGTGTCAAAGTTTCCATTCACAGCAGTCAGTATTCTACGTATCATACATACATTTGAAGTTGGGGATTGATTATCTTTTGTGTGTTGTTAGTTTCTGGTCTATATTTTCACAGTCGTTTTTAAATTCCTTGAAATCCAAATGGTGCATATTGCTCCAATGCTTTGAAATTTCGGCGAAAATGTTGGCATTATGAAGTAGTAGTCACTAACCTCACTCGTAAGCTACGCTGTTTTTTGAACACACAACTGACCAGGCGACGCATAAAAGTGAGCATCTCTTTCAGGAGTTCAATTAGTTACTTAGTATAACTGGTTGGCAGTGGCTTTCTAATGTTTTCGTTTTCTATCACACGATCTTTTGGTCATGGTCGAGGGATTAGTTTTGAGTGATTCGACATCTCAAGGAACAATTGCTTAAAGATTATTACGCAATTTCTGTCTTGATGTAATCTGTCTGTCTATTTTCGACATGAGAAAAAAAAATATAGACAGTAAACAGAGGTGTGAAATGTAATGGATGTGTGTGATGTAATGGAAGTGTAGTGTGGTATAACTGGCTTGCCAGTTGTTTGTTCCGGGTGAAACCCTTTCTGGCTTACTGTGGACTAGATGAGGTAAAGAAGCCCGATGACATCTAGCAGTTCTTTGTTAGTCAAATATGAAGTGTCGTTGATTTTCCTGGAGGTATCACAATACTTGTATGTGCTGTTAATAAGTCAGTGCAGCCACAATGTGTGTATAGGCTTTGTGCTTTAACGGAAACTTATTTTCGTATAAGCTGACCAGTGTTACGATTTATCAGTGAATTGTAGTATTCACTTCTCTGATTTACGCAATGATCCTAGTGAATGTTGTGTTTTGATTTCCCTCCCAGCATATCAAATCGATCGTCGCCTGTTGATCTTGATTCGAATGTCAGTTCATCCCGTCGTTCTGTGCTTAAGAAACTGTCTCAGCCGAAGAAAACGGCAACAGGTACGTCTAGAGATTATGATTAGTGTTGTTAGTGTTTACACTCATTTTTACTATCGTCTTTGGTTATGCGAGTAATAATACGGAGTTTGTGTTTCACTGTTTCTGACATGTTCTGAAGACATCTTTTCATATGGGATAAAGTCATGGGCTTTAGTTGTTTGGTTTGCTGACAACGAAATCCAGTTGAGTGGATACACATTTTGTCGTGTTTATGACCCAACAACTGTAGATATCTGTCCCTTCCCTCCAGTGCTTGGTGGTGTTGGTGATAATTCCAGTAAGACGAACCCAGCACTGGTCCTTTGAAAAGCCACATCTGAAGACTCATATGGTATGATTTGGTTGGTGGTCAAACAACAAGTGACGATTGATATCCGTTTCACAAGAGGTGACTCTGGTGACCTGGTGGGTAACACTTTGGTTGTTGAAACAATAAGTACTAAGTTCGAGTCTTAGGGGAGGTGGAAGGGAGGGCAAACGATCACTCACTGAGGAGACAGGTACACCCAACTGACGACGAATAGTTTCAAATAGGTTTTAATGCACATGTTGGATTCCACCGTTAGTCACCATCACATAAACCACACAGACGTCGTGTTAGCCTTCAAGCAGCCATCGTCGAAGCTTCCGTCGAAGAAGCCCGTATACGAACAGAAATCTAGCATTTTGATGACATATATGCAAATTAGTTAACGAGAAATACCAAACAACGTGAACAAATCTGATGAAGTCAACTATTGATTCACAGTGAATTCAGTTTCATGATGTTAGGTGTAGATGAATGTTTTGTTTTATTGTGAACTTCTGTCATCTCTTACTTCATTGGTCACTTGAATGATGTACAGATGCTGCTGCTGCTGGTACAGTGAAATTAAAGTGGGATATCAAGGGTATCGTTCTAGAGATAACATAGTCCTCTTTCCAACGGTTATCATTTGAACACTACTGTTGTTTTACTTCCCTCGTCTTCTAAAATCATTCAGTCAGACCCACATGAAGATACTTGAAATCCTTCCGGATAAATGGCGTTGGTTTTGATCAGTGGATCACAAATGCTTAATGCCTAGATATTTGACATTTGAGAAATTTTGTTGGTTCTTGTGTAAGCTTTTTAGTGATTTCCCTTATGGAGCTGAGTGTCCCGATTTCGCAAGATGTTCTGTTATCGAAGTAAAGACACCTGTTCTCGTTTTGCTAGCCAAACTTAGTGCTGTTCATGTACACGGTCGGTTTACTTATCTCGTTAAAAGCAAGTGGGCTGATGAATAGAGGTTGATGTAAAAGCTTGCCTTTTACGAACAGATTTTGCAAAAAACAACTGGTGTTCTTAGTCCCCCTGTAGAATTTGTTATACCAGGAAGTTTTGAATTCCGGTTCTGGAGAATTTCTGCCTTCGCATGACTTTTGAATTGGTGATTTAGCAGTGAAATGTTTTAGGAGGCTACTTGGATCTTTCTGCATATTTCTTTGGTAGTAGTTTCTCGACTGATTCTTTGTCACTTATCCTCTCTGCCGGGTCGTTATAGAGACAGCCAAAGCCAAGTGGTTGATGAAGTCTACAGCAGCTGTTTGGGAATACTTTTTGATGACTAACTTGACTCTAGCGTTGACTACTCGGATCTTCTTCCATGTACTGATTGATCGCTGTGGATCTGCACGCTGATTTTTTGGAGAAATAACTGTCTGTCTGACTTGCATTATGGAATTCTTCTGAATACAAACGACCTGGGCATTTTCAGGGCATATGTATTTATTGTGCAAGTGTCAGTTATAAAGGAAGGTATGTTTTGCTTTAGGTGAATGTTGCCTATCAGTGGGACTCCATTATTTTTAAGATGAATCATACTTTTGGTGGTCGATTACCACAGTACGGCAATATGTCCCACTTATATGCTAATGTGTCAGGATAGAATTAGGGTATTGTGATAACGAACAGTGATACTATTATTATTATTATTGTTAATACCTGGACCATGTTTTGAGAAAAACCGTATGTCTTGCAATGGCTGAGGATTTCGTCGCCATGTAACCACTCGAAAGGGTTTGCAAGAGGTGAAAGTGTTTAACAGTTTTCTTTGGGAGGAAATGTTGTTTATAAACACACTGTAGAATACATTATACAGCGAGATTTTGAATGTTCTTTCCGAAGAATTTCTGCTTCACTGTGGCTTTTGAATTTGTAATTCAGGAGTGAAATGTTTTAGGAGGCTATCTGGATCTGTTGCTGTGCATCATTTGGTTTCAGGTCCTTGTTAATGAATCTATACTAGAAGTCACTTCCAGTCATCGCTATTCGGCAATTTAACAGTTGCACACCAACAGGTCTCTCAGTGAGTGTACTTTTTGGAATCTAGAGGAAGATGAATGGATAACATTTCTTTGCCTGCTTAGAGATGGAGAGCTTTGGGAGTTGATAAACTGTCTGTTCCATGCGGCCTTCATGTATCTGGATTTCGTCAAGAATTGAACAAGGGCGAAAAGCAACATTGAGTGTGATTCTTCTTCTCTTAAGAGTGATGTTGGTGTTTAGGTGGGTGGGGATTGATTGTTAGAGGTGTTTGGAGCAGATATCAGAGTTTCTAGTTGACATGAGAAAGGATGAAAGTATCGTGAGTGTGTTCTGTTGTAGAGATGGAGCTCATTGATTATTGTGCATAATGTAGTCCTTTCTATGTTTCCCATGAGACAGTCGGCCAAGAGTGAGTGTGTGTGAGAGAGAGAGAGGTCATAGAGTAGAGTGCACTGCTACATTGGAGTTGAACCAAAGCATGAGTATCGGTATACAAACATTGATATTGATATAATGGGTTTGGTGAGTGGGGAATCACAGGGAAGACAATGATGGCTTTTATTAGTGAGGAGACAAACGACATTTAAGGAGAGAATATTCTTTTACCTAGCAGAATAAATGGATAAAGTCGACTGTGTCGTGGAGATTGTCTCGATAGCTTGATCTTCCTAACTGGTCAGAAAATTTCCAGCATCCAGGTTGTGACTGAGTAATTTACTTTCTGTTAGCATGTGTGATATGCTTCCACGTAGACCATAGCTTGTTGATGAATTCTAACAGTTTCTGGAAATGTTGTTAGTCGATTAGAGGTAATCAATTGCTGAGACGCAGCAGCCTTGGACAACATTGTATTCCTGTGGTGATTCAAACCTTTGGTGCTGCAGTCAGTGACATCACCTACCACTGGGCTGTTTTGGGACCATGTGGTGGTAGTGTTAGCTACCTTAGCTAACTGAAGTGTAAATATCTCTGTAAATGTTCCCACTCCTACCTAGAGGTTTCCCAGTTGATGAAGATAACTCTTCCCTCTGATTGCTGATGAATTCCAGGTGATTTTGTTAACGTGTTTTGTGGTGACAAAATTCTGGATAGAAAGTGTTCCGAATTATAATCCGTCAATTTAGTCAGTATTACATTTGTTTTCTCTTCTCACTAATGAAGCGCGTCAGGGCACGGATTGGATGTATGTTAACCACGAGGATACTCCACAACTGAGTGATCGTCCTGTTCCACGTAGACGAGATGATGGAGGTGAGCCATCATACCAGCGGAGTACAAATCTCCTTATAAGGTAAAATGACCCAAAGTTGTTTTCTTCTTTATGTTGGTTGCTTATTTGTGTTTACTATTTTTTGTCTGTTACAGAAATGGTTTCAGTTACTTTTCATTTTCGTATCACAGAGTTTTCTTGGACAGTTTGGTTAGTTCAATTTATCAGTTAGGACTCAGTCACTAGGATAGTGGTGTAGATGTGACACCTGCTGTCGGCAAAACGACATGTGTGCTGCACACATCAGTTTTTGCTGCGTACCTCGTTTGTGGCTGTGGTAGGTAGCCATTTGACGACGGAGACCTGAAAAGGCGAGTTGTGGTTGGCTGTAGGTGTTTCCCTTCTATCTCCCCTGCTGTGTCATTCTGTGGTGCGTCATACTCAGGTTAGACGCAAAGTATTAAATAAGAAGACGAAGTCAGCCAATCGATGAGGTGATGAAACCTGACCGATTGAGATAGATGGATGGGACACCTGTTACACATGCCAGTTAGTGATTCAGTTTACTTCTCCTATAGATGAATTTCTCTGTAAGTGAGTTAGTAAAAACACCTGGGTGTTTGTCGTGCTACTTCTTACTAGTCGTGTAATTCACTAATTACCAATGAAGTGAAGTGAGAAGTTTGCAGAAACTGTCGACACTTTGAAGTTGTGCAACACTTCCTGGAAGCACACACATTGAAAGGTGGTGGTGGACAGAGGGGAGAAGCATTAAAGCGAGTTAACACTGATATATTCACGACTGAAGGTTTTTCGATCCAGCAGGTGTAAATGATAACTTGCTTGCCTGAAGATCTCTAGATCTTAAGTTCCCTAAAGTTAGCGGATTTGCATGCTAAAATGAGACTGTTAGTTATCCAATGAACGTCTTGATTCCCATGGGTGATTGTTTTCACTAACTGTGATTTACTAACTGGTTTCATTCCTTGAGGAGGAGGTCTGTCTTGATGGAATGTGTCAAACACCTGTAAATTATATGAACGTTTCACTGCTTGTATTGGCGAGAGATCTACTATTGAACCACCATCCCGGTGACTGAATGGTCAATGAGCTTACCTGATAACATGAAGGTCGTTGTGAGTTCTCTGTGTGTCTCGTTGTGTCACGCGTGTATTACTCTGAGGAATGACAGACTAGGAGAAAACACGACTGTCGACTAAATCCACGTTATTATGTGTATACTTGTAAATATATACCACCTAACGAATGAATGAATGAATTCATTGTTTACTTTGCAGTTTACCTGTTTATATGTTCGTTTTTTTCTTTGTTTGTTGATTGTCGATTGGTGATAGGAAGATGCCATTCTGTCAATATATCCGTTATATTATTGCGACGTCACTTGATCAGAGATACTTAACGTTTCATTGGCAAGCCATTTGCTTTCTGGCGTTACAAGAAGCCGCTGAAGCATTCCTCGTAAGCTTGTTTGAGTCGGCTCAACAATGTGAAATTCACGCTGAACGTGTTACAGGGATTCCTAGAGATATCAGGTTTTACATTCCAATTGGCCCAAGTGATCAACAATTGCAACAATTGAGAACGATGACGACTAGTAGTCGGCCTATGTTAACGGCAGCACCCGGTCCATCGAATAGTACGCATCGGAATAATAACAATGATAATAATAATAATAATAATAATAATAATAATAATAATAATAATAATAATAGATGATGACTGTTTTCTAGTTGATTTTTGTAATTTGATCATCACTGTTGTTGCTGCTGCTGGTGATTCTGTTTTATCTCCGATCCCCACGTTGTTTCACTTCTCTTCTTGTTCCAGTGCACATAATCCTCGCCTACATTCACTCTTTGTGATATATCATATCCAGTCAACTTCGATTGTTCTTCCATTTTGCTGCTGTTCTTTTTGCTCTACATATCTGTTTGTTACTTCTCTTTTTCTCTCTTCTTGTGTGGATATGGAGAGTGGAGACTGGAAGTGCTGCACATCTGTGCAAAGTTCTAGGTTGAAACTAGTCAGTCAATCCTCCTCCACTCCACTGCCGCCCTCCCCACCTCTCCCTCTGTGCTACTTGATCTTTGCCTAATTCCCAATTGTGATATTTTTGTAGATACTGTGTTTTCCTTGTTAGGTTGCAGTTTTGTGAATGCTTCACTGCTTTTATATCAAATCGGATGCATTTTTGTGATTGTGCGATAGCCTTATTTGTACATAGTGACTTTAATGATAATAATAATAATGATAATATACTTTATTCCAAAAACAGTACTTGTGATACAGAATGGAATTTTCAGCATTAATCACAATATTGCATCTAATCTCGTCAATTTATAAAATTAATCACACAGAAAATTTTCCACATTTACAAAACGGGTGATGTCAAAAACATACAGCATGTAAAATGGAAATGGTAGTAATAATGATAGCAGCTAAGGTAGTAATAATAATACAAGTGAAAATTGCCGTGGGCTTGTTTCACACAGTATTGTCGATGCAGTATAGAAATCCTGGCATGTTCGAAAATATTGAATATGATGTTCTCTTCACATGATATGGTGAGGGAAAAAAACAAAGATTACAGCAGTCATAGAGATAAGTTGGTGTTTGCAGTTATGAAAGTGAAAACAAAGAATCAACAGGACCATAAATATAATAGAAATAATAAAAGTGAAACTTGAAGGTGTATAAGGATGGATGGAGGAGATTGTTTATTTACTAGATGGAAAAAGGTTAGTCGATTCTTGCCTGACGCTATTTTCATCACATAAAATACGTGCCAAGTATGGTATCATAGAATTTTTATACTTAGACGTGCGAGCATACAGTTTTCAGAAGTTACTTCTAGTTCTACCTGAGGAGATGAGATGCAAGGTGAAAGCTGAGGGTGAAGTGGATGCTCCAAGTCAGACAAAATCCCTTTAGCAAATTTACTGCACGAAGTCAAATGCCTATCGACAACGACGTTAACTATGTAGTCCACTGGGACACCACTCATCCTACTGACAGTCTTCAGCATTCTACGAATTGTGACAAAGTCCTTTTTAAGCAAACCAGGAAAGAATAAGGGTGAACAATAAAGAAGAATAGGTAGGATGCAAGAGTTTATGAACTGTAAGAGGAGGGGTTGAGTTATACCCGAGTGCCTTAACTTCTTAATGTAAAATGTCAGGCGGAATATTTTACTGGAGATCGCTGAGACATGGGAAGACCAGGAGAGATCAGAAGAGAGAATAAGTCCAAGATACTTAATTTCTGATTTAATTCCTATATCATTGTCATCAATCTTACAAATGTCATGAGAATCGACGGCTTCTTTTAACTGTCGTTTACATCTTAAGCTGAAATTAACAGTTTGACATTTAGAAGGATTCAGTTTAAGACCGTTAGACTCAGACTATTTACTGACTCCCGACAGAAAGCTATTTATTTTGGTACAATCTAGCTGGGAGTTAACAGCCATTGAAACAGTTAAATCATCAGCGTACTTCACAAAGTTTACTTCATCAGAGTGAGGCAAGTCATGTAAGAAGAAAGAAAAGGAGAAAGGACAGCGCCTTGAGGGACACCAGCTTCAGTAGGCAATGAAGTGGAAGACTTCCCTTTATACACGGTGTACTGCTTTCTTTCTGAGAAATAAGAATATAACCAGTTAACAGCCCAACATTCTGTTTGACTTGCAGCAAGTTTATTTAATAAGATGTCCGTAGGGACCGAGTCAAAAGCAGATGTATAGTCTAGGAAGGCACAAGGAACAAATTTAGCCCCTTTGTCTAGACTGGAAGCAATGTTATGATATAAGACGGCAGCTGCATCTAAAGTGCTTCTACTGTGCTTATAGGCAAACTGTTTTGGGTCATTAAAGGATTTAAGAGAGGGTACAAGATTAAGTAAAAGTAGTTTCTCCATAGTTTTCAAAAAAGGAGAGGTAATAGCAATGGGTCTAAATTTGACACATGCTCCAGTAGACGATTTAAATGCTGTATGGCTGACAACAGCCTGTCTGTCTGTCTGTTGGTGAACAGACGTTTTTGTAGATAATTACTACCAGTGCTGTATCGTGGAATATTTTCTATTGTGATTAAAAGCAACCGTGAGGGGGTGGGTGGGTATCCTACCTGATGTGCATCTGTTCAGGATGAGGTTAGTTTTGAAACACTATTTTCGTCGTGTACTTCGTTGGTGTTTTGTTTCAGCTATCTGAAGATGTTGATTGATTTTAGGGTGGATATGGTTAGCAACTGAGACCCCAGTCAGTTAGTCAGAGGCCCACTGAAAACCACTTAGGATCTGGATACATTTCCTGTCATGGTTTTGACGCTCTGCTGTAGTGTTTTCACCACAGTATTGGGTTCAAGTGAAAACCGTCAAGTGATGGTAGGTGGGGACTCGTTAACTATCATATCGAGCCACCGTGTTGCAATCCGATTCTCTGTAAATTCTAACCTGTGTCGACTAGCGATATATGTGTTTGTGCTAAATCGATGCTATGATCGGCGAGTATCTGTCGTCACAGCCAAATAGCGCTGCGATGTGCTTGTGGTGACTTCTCATGAGAATGGCATGAAATTCGTCCTGTGGGATGAGGAGTGGTGAATTGAGCAGGCTTAGTTGTCACTTGAGGATTTCTACTCGAGAAATGGTAAGTTCTCATAGTTTACTAGTCATCCCTTACTTTTTGTGAGGACGGGCTGCTTACTGTACATGGTAGTCGTTAGCCACCTTTCCATCGCTTGTCAAACTATAAGGCGTGGCAAATCTGAATTTGTCCATCATTTTGAACAGGAAATCTTTCTTCAGAGCTAACTTTTAATATGCGGATATGGAATATACTCAGCATCTGTGAGACTGGCTTCTCAGGTTGCAGTAGAAATGAGCATATATAGTATGGAAGTGTTAGAGATCTGAGGGAGTGGGATCCTATGAAAGTGTGAATGCTCCAAATTGTTCAATAGAGGGAGAGTCGATAATCTGATTTGGTTACCCACTAACGAAGTTTATAGACAGATTGATGCACCAGAGTAGGAATGGCGAGTAGTTTGATACATATTCTTGCTTAGGTTTTCATGAGAAATCTAGAAACAAACGAGAAATACACATCCACAATTGAAGAAACCAGTCTTTATGCAGAGTGTGTGGATGACATATTCGTGATTTGTAGGAACATGAAGCATGCTTGCAAATGGTTCCATAGCTTCAATATTGTGGATTGTGAAAGTCAATTTCACGTCTTGGATTTATTTGTGAGGTGATGGCACAGCTGATAGGGGAAATACTGCAAGGATACCCGGACCGGACAGTATTTATATTACTGCAGCTTCTGTTCAATAAGAGACAAGCAAGCATTAGCCTGGAGGCTGTTTGATAGACTGCGTAAACTGCTTCCTGAGAATAGATTGCATGAAGAGATGGACTTCCTTGAAAAGTAATTGTCTGGAAACGGGTTTCCAAACAAATTGATGACACGTTTGAGGAAGAATTTCGGTAAGTAGTGAAGAGGATGTTACTACAATCGAGAAGAGGTCTATATTCATCGAGCTTATCTTTAAAGGAGTTGATGTATCGCAGAGTATAAACAAGAGACTAAGAGTTGGCCTTTCTACAACATCCTGTTTACAGCACTAGTCGTGCACTTTATATTTGATATTGGAAGTGGTCAGAGATATCCATCTGAAGTCACTTCCAAATTGTGTTTAGTGATTCACGTGTATGTGCCAGAGCATGAATGTGTTGGAGGTTGAAAGCAAGTGGGCATCCATTTGCCTCTCTGAACACATTCCGGAAAGTGTGAGACTCAATCATGCGAATCTAATTGAATCACAACACAAAAGAGATATGCGAAATTCTTGCACTATTGGTTTAACAAACATAGAAAGTCAACTTCATTTCGATTTCGCTGAATCTATCGCCATCGAGGAAGTAAAAGCAGCAAACCTGAATCTGAGGTAACCAACGCGGCGATTAATCTTAGTTTACCCTGGAGACAATTCATTTTCGCCTATTACATAGTTATATATTCTAATTAGAAATAATAGGGAAGATTTTTAGCTGACGTGGGTGGGTGGTTTACAATTAGTTGTGTTCTCTGAGCTGTCTGATTTAATTGCGAAACTTTCATTGTCGAAGTCGACAATGAATTCGCCATAAATTCTGTGATATAATTGTATCTCATGACAACCTTCGTTATCGTGATTGGTTGTCAATTTACACTGGTCATATTTTTCCTGACTTGGGATTTGAACTTTCTTGTCATGTGATGTATTTTTCATGAGTTGGAAAACTTTGAACTGTGACTGTACGTCTTTGGTGCACATAAGTAAAAGTTGTTTGAGTTCGTTGTTGCGCAGAGGAAGAAGTTGACATATAATTTGTATTGTTTCTTCCAATGGGATCTTCATTTGAGAAATATCGAAATGTTGATGGGGAGTAATTTACGATAGTGTAGAAGATTAAGAGAGTTCGTGAATCCACTTGAAATTCAGACATCTGTTATATTAAACAATCAATCAATTGATTTAGTTCAACGATTGAAACTAAACAAGGTTATCTCATGAGACATTTAGGGAGGGAGTGAAGGGATGGAAGTGTGTTGGTTGTTTGAGTTGTGCTATGCTTGTGCATCTCTACATTCTCTCCCCCTCTGTCTCTGTCTCAATAATCCCACTACCTAAGCTATAC